GTTCCACCTGGCTCCTCCTTGAACTGGCTCCCACCCCTTTCTGGGGCAGGTGGGGCAGTCAGAGCCCCTAGCCACTGGCTTGGAAAGGAAAATCCGGAAGTCATTTGATCCCTGCTCTCAGAGCTGTACTCTACCAGGAACTAGAAGGCCCCTTCCAGGGAGTTAACCCTTTCGTTCACAAGCACAGGATACAAGACCTTGAAGGCACTAAGAGGACACAGTATATGAACTTGAAAAAGATGAGGATGATGATCAATCGCTCCCACTGATTGAACCTTTACTGTAAGAGGTGGCAGGCACTATGCTATGTGCTTCACATGCATTGCTTCATTGCATCCTCACAACAGTATGAGATACATACGGTCATTATCTCTATTTTGTAAATAAGAAAACTGAGGGTAAGAAAAGGTAAGAGGCTCTTTGGTTTTGCCATTCAACAGACAGCTCCATCTTCCCCTGCAGCACCAGTGTGTCACCAAGACACCATGGTGAAGGGTCAGAATAAAGGCTTTGGCTGTATTAGGCGCCTGGTCACCAGGGCTGCTTTTAACTCTGGGAAAGTGGATAATGTTGCCACCAATGACCTCTTTATTGACCTCAATAACACGATCTACACAGTCCAGTCTGGTTCCACCCAGGGCAAGTTCCATGGCACAGTCAAGACTGAGAACAGGAAGCTTGTCATCAAAGGACATCCCATAACCGTCTTCCAGGAATGAGATCCCACCAAAATCAAATGGGGCAAAGCAAGTGCCGCTTACATTGTGAAGCCCACTGGCATCTTCACCACCTTGGAGAAGGCTGGGGCTGCTCTAGAGGGTGGAGCCAAAAGGGTCATCATCTCTGCCCCCTCTGTTGACGCCCCCATGTTTGTGATGGGCATGAACCACGAGAAGTACAAAAACAACCTCACCATTGTCAGCAATGCCTCCTGCACCACCAACTGCTTAGCCCCCTGGCTAAGGTCATCCATGATGACAACTTTGGCATCATGGAGGGACTCATGACCACAGTCCATGCTGTCACCACCACCCAGAAGACTGTGGATAGATCCTCTGGGAAGATGTGGCTTGATGGCCATGGGGCTGTCCAGAACATCACTGCTGCCTTGACTGGCGCAGCCAAGGCTGTGGGCAGGGTCACCCCCCAGCTGAATAGGAAGTTCACTGGCACGGCTTTCCGTATCCTCATTGCCATTGTGCCGGCTGTGGACCTGACCTGCTATCTGGAGAAGCCTATGAAATATGGTGACATTTAGAAGGTAGTGAAGGCTGAGTGTGGTGCCTCATGCCTCTGATCCTAGCATTTTCAGAGGCCAAGGTAGGAGGATCTGTTGAGCTCACGAGTTTAAGAACAGCCTGAGCAAGAGCAAGACCCCATTTCTACTAAAAATAGAAAACTTACCAGTTGTGGTGGCATGCACTTATAGTCTCAGCTATCCTGGAGGCTGAGGCAGGAGGATCACTTGAGCCCAGGAATTTGACATTGCTGTGAGCTAGGCTGATGCCACAGCACTCTAGCCTGGGCAACAGAGCAAGATTCTGTCTCAAAAACAAAAAACAAAAAACATTTGAAGGTAGATTGTGATAAGTTAAAGGTATATACTATTAACCCTAAAGCAATCCATCAAAGTAACACGATGAAGACTTATAGCTAATAAGCCAACAAAGGTGATAAAATGGAACCATAAAAATGTTCATTTAACTCAAAAGAAGGTGAAAAAGAGGGAAAAAAAGGAACAAATAACAGGCATGACAAATAGAAAACAAACAGCAAGATGGTAGATTTAAACCCAACCATAGCAACACTCACATTAATTGTAAATGGTATAAACACCTCAATAAAAAGGCAGAGATTGTCAGATTAAATTTAAAAAGATATATATTTGATATCTACAAAATATGACTTTAAATGTAAAGACATAAAGAGATTAAAGGCAAAAGAATTGACAAAAATATGCAATGCTAACATGAATCAAAAGAAAGGTGACATAGCTATATTAGCATTAGATAGATTTGGGGGCAAAAATATCAGAAATAAAAAGGATAATTTCAAAATTATATTTCTACATATTAGCAAGAAATAGACTCACACATATATGATAAATTAATTTTCTACAAAAATACAAAGGCAATTCAGTGGAGAAAGCATAATCTTTCCATCAAATGATGTTGGAACAACTGGATATATGTATGAGAGAGAGAGAGAGAGAGAAAAAAGAACTTAAATCCATACCTTGCTTGGACCATATGCAAAAATTAATTCAAAGTGGTTTATGGATTTACATGTTCAACCTAAAACTATATAACTTTTAAAAGAAAACAGGAGAATATCTTTGTGACAAAGATTGGTTAAACAAAGATTTCTTAGTTTGAACACCAAAAAGACAATCCACAAAAGAGAATAATTGATAAACTTAACTTCATCAAAATTAAGAACTTTTGCTCTTCAAAAACCACTGTTAAAACAATAAAAGAATAAGCCACACAATAAGAGAAAATATTTTCAAGTTGCATATCTGATAAAAGATTTGTATCTAGAATGCATAAAAACTCTCAAAACTAAAAAAAAAATAAATGAAAATAAAAACTCTCAAAACTCAATAATAAGAAAATAAGCAATTTAATAGAAAATGAACAAAAGATTCATGCACACACATCACCAAGAACATACATAGATAGTAAATAAGCACATGAAACGAAGCTCAATGTCTTTAATCATTAGGGAAATGCATACTAAAACCAGAGTGAGATACCACCTCACACTTATTAGAATGTCTACAGTTAAAGAGACTGACTAATCCAAGTGTTGGCAGGGATGTGGAGCAATTGGAATGCTTATATGCTACTACTGGGAATGTTACACAACTTTGGAAAAGATGTTGGGAGTTTCTTAAATACATATCCACTATTTGACCTAGTCATTCCACAGTAGGTAATTACCCAAGAGAAATGAAAGCATAGGTCCACACAAAGATTTATATGCTAATGTTCAATGTAGCTTTATTTGTGATAGCCAGGAACTGGACGCAATGCAAGTGTCCATCTGCAGGCGAGGGGATAAGCGGATTGACGTTTATCCATACAAGAGAATACCCCTGGCGAGGGCGGAGGACTCAAGGGGAAGGAATAGACTATTAATATACACAGTGTGGATGAATATCAAAATAGTTACGCTGAATGAAAGAAGTCATTTAAAAAAAGAATGCATACCATAAGAGTCTATTTATGCAAAGTTCTAGGAAATGGAAACTAGTCTATAGTGACAGAAAAGAGCTCAGTGGATTCCCGAGGACTGGGGTCTGGGTAATTACCAACCAGTGCAGAGGCAACTTTTTAGGGTGATGGATACATTCACTATCTTCATAGTGGTAATGATTTCTTGGGCATATACTTATGTCGAAACTTATCAAATTCTACGTTTTTTGTATTGGTCGCCTTCGGCTGCTATAACAAAATAACAGACTGGGTAGCTTAAATACCAGAAATTTATTTTCTCACAGTTCTAAAGCCTGGAAGTCCAAGATCAAGGTGTCACTAGGTTTGGCTTCTGGTGAGGCTTCTTTCCTTTGGCTTCCAGACAGCCACCTTCTCACTGTGTCCTCAAGTGGTCTCTCCTCTGTGTGCACACCCCTGGTGTCTCTTCTGCTTCATATAAGGCCATTCGTGCTGTCGGATTAGGGCCCACTCTTATGGCCTTATTTAACCTTAATTACCTCCTTAAAGGTCCTATCTCCAAATATGGTCACCTTGGTGGTTAAGACTTCAACCTATGAATTTTGGAGGGACACAATATGGTTCATAACAACTTTAAATATCTGGTAGTTTAGCACATAAAATTTATACCTTAATAAAGAAATTAAAAATTAAAAATAAATTGAAAAGCACATAGGATTACAAAAAAGCCAAATTATATTGAAATGCAGCTATCAAATTGTTTTTTTTTTTTTTTTTTTTTTTTTGAGACAGAGTCTTGCTTTGTTGCCCAGGCTAGAGTGAGTGCTGTGGCGTCAGCCTAGCTCACAGCAACCTCAAACTCCTGGGCTCAAGCAATCCTGCTACCTCAGCCTCCCAAGTAGCTGGGACTACAGGCATGCGCCCCATGCCTGGCTAATTTTTTCTATATATATTAGTTGGCCAATTAATTTCTTTCTATTTATAGTAGAGACGGGGTCTCGCTCTTGCTCAGGCTGGTCTCGAACTCCTGACCTCAAGCAATCTGCCCGCCTCGGCCTCCCAGAGTGGTAGGATTACAGGTGTGAGCCACCGCGTCCGGCCCTATCAAAATATTTCTTAAAAACAAATATGTGATATGATTACCTATATGCTTCTTTATTAAGGCAAACCCAATAGCTATTATAATTTGGAATGAATAAGGAATGTGAATGATATTTTGAGGTATCCAAAACCATCAGAATGTGATGTGAAAACATCTGTCCTTTCTTGTAGTGTTAAAGTCAGTTACTGCTAATACTGCCATGGTTTGTGGCTTGTGTTTACAATAGAAAAAAAAAATGATACATTTCAGTTAGAATTTAGTAAAAATAAAGATGCATTTTTTTCCTCAGAGTCACAAACTCCTGAATTATGTCCAGATTAGAAAGCCCTGGAGAGCATTTTTGATCAACCTGGGGTAAAGAGACTTACTCGGTTTGGTGTGCAAAGCTGTTTCTCAAAAATGGTGACCACCTGTTCCCCCTCTCTCTTTGGTGGGGTGGACTGCCTCAGGCTCATTTAAAAACAAAACAAGAGACAACAAACCAAGTAGGTATGGGGCCCTGGGAAAAAAGTATTAGGCTTCGTCAGGAGGATGGAGGGACGCGCACCCTCCACCTGCCTGGCCTACTCTCTAGAGCAGGTCTCCAGCCTTTGGCTCCCTTCCTAACAGCCTTCTGCAAATGTCAGAAAGGAAACATTTTCCTTAATAAAGGCCGCACCCAGGCCTTTTCAGGGAAAGCAAGCTTGACTCCGCAGGGCAGGCACTTTATCTTGTTCTTGCAGAAATTCAGCAGAGCAGAGGTAAGCAGAGCCTGCAGCTGCTGGGGACCCTGGGGTCTCCTGCAGTGTCGAGCCCCCATGGCTTGTGGAAGTTGTGATGGGTCTGGCAGGACAACAGCCATCAACGCAGCAGCAGGTCAGTGTTAGGGGCTGGGGCTCCCTGGGGAGTGTGGGATGTTCTACCTTGAGGAGGCCTAGGGCAAGAAGAACCAGAATGAGCCCTAATCTTCAAAAACAGTCCTGGGCCCAGTGGGAAGGAAATCAAGATAACTTGATACATCCTAAGAAAAAGAGTCTGCTTGGTCCATGGGGAGGGGCCAGGAGCCAAGAAAGAGATTTCTGGGTGATTACTGGGAACAGAGAGAAAGGGCCATGGAGAGCCCAAGGTATAAGGGTAGTGGGTTGGGCTCGATTAAGGTCTAGGGCCCTAGGTTCTGGACCAGCACTGACAGTCTCCAAAGGACAGATCCTAGAAATTGAGGTTGAGGTTGCTATTTCTTTAATAATCCACACTACCTTCCCCAGCCTAAGGAATTGGTAGCTGAATGTTAGCTATGTGATTGATGAGTGATTAGAAGGGCTAGTGAGAGCAGCAAAGCAGAACAGTTATGATACAATCAGGTACCATAAAAGTCATTCATAGTTTATTACTTATCCTGTTACTGACATTTTAGCTGCCCCAGGGATTTTCGAGTCACTCCAAGTGAATGGACAACGTATCTTTTCCACCACTGACTTGGCTAGAATGTAGGCTCTTACTTGGCACAGGGACCTGCAACTCACATGTGATCCAGATTTCAGCCTCTCCCTTTGAACCTTCAATCAGCATTTCCCCAAAGTAGTAATACTCTTGAGTGTGTGCCCCATCTCCCTGCCCAGACCTCAGAGGACAGGCATGGAGCCCCAGCCTGAAAAGTAAATCCAAGATAGAACTTGCTTCTAAGGCAAGGGAACCTGAAAACACACCATAGGTGTATCAGGAGTCTAATTGGATCTGGGCAGATCACGTGGAGTAAGATGTTAATCTGGGAGCCCCGAGCAAATGACCACCATGCCAAGTTCAAGTTTTAAAGTCTCAGCATCAAGGACAATGACTCAGCACATGTGAATATGCTTCCTAATTCTTTCTTGGATTGAATGGCACTATCTAATGATGATATTAGTGAATATGAACATGGATTCTGTAGAATCATGAAGCTAGGGAATAATTTAAATATTAAATGGGAGGTACATACCATAGACAAAAAACAAACAAACAAACAAACAAAACCCCAGTCCAGTAGATCTAAATGCGAAACATAAAACAAAAATGCTTCAAAAAGGTAACATAGAATATTTTTATGACCTTGGGGTAGGTAAAAATTTCTCAAATAACACACATATTCACAAAAGCAGTAACTGTAGAAGTTTCTAAATTTTAAAAATTCTGTTTGTCAAAATGCACCATAATGAGAGTGAAAGGTGAGCAATAGAGAGAGAGAAGATACTTACAGAACCTATGTCTGACAAGGGACTCATCTAGAATATGGAAATAATTCTTATAAATCAATAGGAAAAATAAAAAAACCCATTTTTTTTAATGGGCAAAAGACTTGAACAGGCGTTTCATTAAAGAGAACATCTAAATAGCCCACAAGCATGTGAGAGGGTGCTCCACATCTTGAGTCATTACGGAAATGAAAATTAAAACCACAATGACATACTACTGTACACTCACCATAATGGGGGAAAAAATGACAGTTTAAAAGTAGAACAACTGGATCTCTCTGTACACTCTTATATAAATTGGTTCAAGAACTTCAAAAAAGTTTGATATTATCTATTAAAGCTGAACATATGTCATATCCCAGATGTCAAAATGCATTCATATATTAACATGTACAAGAATATTCGTAGTAGTCCTCTTTGTCTTGGCTAAAAACAACCTAAAGTTTTGTCTACAGTGCAGTGGATAAGTAAATTTGTATTCATTATATATGTAAACACATACATATTTACATACGTGTGCATATATTTACAATATGCAATTAATAAATAAATTTATATTCATTGTATACTGTAAACTTATGTAAACATCGTACACAATGGAATACTGTAGCAATAATGAAAACAACTGTTGCTATATTGTTGAATCTCACAGACATAATGTTAAGCAAAAGGAGCCAGAATCAAAAGAGTAGACACTATATGATTTCATCTGTATGATATACAAGACCAGGCAAAACTAATCTAGAGTCATAAAAGTCAGAATAATGGTTACTTTTTGGATAGGATTGCCAGATAAAACACAGGCCACCCAGTTAAATTTGATTTTCAGATAAACAACAAATAATTTTTTAGCATAAATAGGTCTCAAGCAATAGTTCTATATCCTAAATCTGGCTCACCTACTTTGAGGGAAGTTTGATTTGGAGGGGACGTGAGATTGCTTATGTCATACTGGTAATATTCTAGATGGTAGCTACTTGGGTGTGTCCATTTGTAAACATTCATCAAGGGTGAATGTTTAGGACTTTTGCAGGTGTTCTCTTTAATGAATGTTATGTTTGAACAAAAAACAGGTTTTAAAAATTAAAAGAGAAGTAGAGCAATACAGGAAGAATCAGGAGTCCTGGGTTCAAATCTCAGTTCTTACTGACTTGAGTGGAGTTTGGTCAAGTCTTTCCAAGTCTCAATTTTTTCATCTGTAAAATGGAAGTAACTGTAGTAAATAAGAGCAGCTGCTACTAACTTCATTGCAGGGAGGTGAAATAGCTTGCACAGGGCAACCCAGCCGATCAGCAGCATTGGCATTCAAACACAATCCTAGAATCCACATGGTTACCTCCACACTCCACTGTTTCCAATTGGACAGTACTTCTTAAATTGTAAAAGACTCAACAAATGTAAGACCTTTTTTAAAAGTGATTATTTAGAGCAAGAAATTATAATTAAAAATCTAGATAGTCTAGAGACTATGTGTAAAAATGTAAGCATCAGTGTATTTTCCTGGTAAGCAAGCTTAAAACTAGTTTGGATTCTCAAAGGGGTCTCTGATACCCTTCCCTAAAAGAGGAAGAGTTAGAAGATCCTTGGTGGGAAGGAGACCAACCCAGAGCAGCCAGTAGCAGTAGCCTCGACCTGACTATTGTGACCTGAGATTCCTCTCTTCCTTTTGACCTAGCCTTCCCCCTTTCCTTCCCTTTTTGCCCAAAGCAGACCACTTCTGGGAGCCAGCACTCACTGCCTCCCTTTAGCAGGGGTAGGGGAAAGAGGGTTGGTGAGAGGAGGATGGCAGCCTTACTAACTGCCCTTGCTTAATTAGTGTTTGCTAAGGGCTGCAGATTATTGAATTACCAGACAATTGTGATGAAGTATTGGGTGCTTTCAAAATCTGTATGCTTTATGAATCTCAGTGCACCAAGGTTGGGTGCATATATATTTAGAATTGTTATGTCTTCTTGTTGAACTGTACCCTTCACTATTATATAGTGACCTTCTTTGTTTTGAGTTTTCATATATCCAGCTAAAGCAGTCCTGAGAGGAAAGTTAATTTCCATAAATGCCTATATCCAAAAGTTGAAATGATCACAAATAGACAACCTAATGAATCATCTCAAAGAGCTAGAAAAAGAACAGACTAACCCCAAACCCAGCAGAAGAAGTGAATGATTAAGATCAAATCAGAACTAAATGAAATTGACAACAGGGAAACCATACAGAAGATTAACAAAACAAAAAGTTGGTTCTTTGAAAAAATAGACAAAATTGACCTACCTTTGGCTAGACTAATGAAAAGTGGAAAAGAAAAATCTCTAATAAGCTCCATCAGGAACAATAAAGGAGAAATTACAACGGAGGTCACAGAGATACAAGATATAATTCATGAATACCACAAAAACCTCTATGCACACAAACTGGAAAATGTGGAGGAAATGGACAATTTCTTAGAAACACACAGCCTTCCTAGGTTCAACCAAGAAGAAATAGAATTCCTGAACAGACCAATATCAAGTACCTAATTGAAACAGCAATAAAAAAACCTTCCTAAAAAGAAAAGTCCTGGACCAGATGGTTTCACACTTGAATTTTACCACACTTACAAGGAAGTACTGGTGCCTATCCTGCAGATATTATTCCACAACATTGAGAAGGATGGAATCCTCCCTAACACATTTTATGAAGCGAACATAACCCTGATACCAAAACCAGGAAAGGATGCAACAAAAAAAAGAAAACTATAGACCAATATCCCTTATAAATATAGATGCAAAAATTCTCAACAAAATCCTAGCCAATCGAATCCAAGTGATTGCCAAGAAAATAATCCATCACAACCAAGTGGGCTTCATCCCAGAGATGCAGGGATGGCTTAACATATGCAAATCTATAAATGTAATTCACCACATAAACAGAAGCAAAAACAAAGACCATATGATCCTCTCAATAGACGCGGAAAAAGCATTTGACAAAATTCAACACCCTTTTATGATAAGAACGGTCAACAAAATAGGCATAGACGGGGCTTACCTAAAAATGATACAAGCCATATATGACAAACCCACAGCCAATATCACACTGAATGGGGAAAAATTGAAAGCATTCCCACTTAGAACTGGAACAAGACAAGGTTGCCCATTATCTCTACTTCTATTCAATATAGTGCTGGAAGTCCTTGCTACAGCAATCAGACAAGAGAGCAGAATTAAGGGCGTCCAAATGGGAGAAGAGATCAAACTCTCACTCTTTGAGAGACCAAACTCTCATGATGACAGATATTATACCTAGAAAACCCCAAGGATTCAACTATGAGACTCCTTGAATTGATAAATGAATTTGGTAAAGCCTCAGGATACAAAATCAATACACAGAAATCAGAGGCATTCATATACGCCAACAACAGTGAAATTGAGAACCAAATCAAAGACTCAATTCCCTTCAAAATAGCAACAAAGAAAATAAAGTACTTTGGAATATATTTAACTAAGGAGATAAAAGACCTCTACAGGAAGAACAATGAAACACTGAAGAAGGAAATAGCAGAGGATGTAAACAGATGGAAGAATATACCATGCTCATGGGTCAGCAGAATCAACATTGTTAAAATGTCTATACTACCCAAAGTGACCTACAGAGTCAATGCAATCCCTTCAAAATACCATCATCATTTTTCACAGATATAGAAAAAATAATTTTATGCTTCGTATGGAACCAGAGAAGACCCCGTATAGCAAAATCAATCCTAGGCAATAAAAACAAAATAGGAGGTATCAATTTACCAGACTTCAAACTATACTACAAGGCTATAGTCATTAAAACAGCTTTTTACTGGCACAAGAACAGGGACATTGACTAGTGGAACAGAATAGAGAACCCAGATATAAAACCATCCTCATATAGCCAACTAATCTTTGACAAAGCAGACAAAAACATACACTGGGGAAAAGAATCCTTATTCAATAAATTGTGCTGGGAAAGCTGGATAGCCACCTGTAGAAGACTAAAACAAGACCCACACCTTTCACCTCACAAAAATCAACTCACGCTGGGTAACAGACTTGAACCTTAGGTGTGAAACTATTAGAATCCTAGAGGAAAATGTTGGAAATACCCTTCTAGACATTGGCCTAGGCAAAGAATTTATGAAGAAGACCCCAAAGGCAATCACAGCAGCAACAAAAATCTCTAATCATCAGGGAAATGCAGATCAAAACCACAACGAGAATATCACTTAACGCCAGTGAGAATGGCCTTTATCCAAAAGTCCCCAAACAATAAATGCTGTCGTGGATGCAGAGAGAGAGGAACACTCCTACACTGCTGGTGGGACTGCAAACTAGTTCAACCTCTGTGGAAAGCAATATGGAGATACCTCAAAGCGATACAAGTAGATCTACCATTTGATCCAGCAATTCCACTACTGGGCATCTACCCAAAAGATCAAAAGTCACTTTATGAAAAAGATACCTGCACTCAAATGTTTATAGCAGCAATTCACAATTGCAAAACTGTGGAAACAACCCAAGTACCCATCAATTTGTGAGTGGATTAATAAAATGTGGTATATGTATACCATGGAGTACTACTCAGCTTTAAGAAACAATGGTGATATAGCACCTCTTGAATATATCTGGATAGAGCTGGAACCCATTCTACTAAGTGAAGTATCTCAAGAATACAAAAGCAAGCACCACATGTACTCACCAGCAAATTGGTATTAACGAATCAACACCTAAGTGGACATATAGGAGTAACATTTATCGGGTGTCAGGCAGGTGGGAGGGGGGAGGAGGGGATGGGTATATACAAACACAACGAGTAAGATGTGCAACGTTTGGGGGACGGACACGCTTGAAGCTCTTACTCGAGGAGGGAGGGGGGAATGGGCAATATACATAACTTTAACACTTGTACCCCCATATTATGCCAAAGTAAAATTTAAAAAAAATCCGTATGCTGTCCTTAACTGGGAGGGAGGACTTGCCTGGAGGGACATAGAGAGGAGAGAGGTTGGGGACACTCTTTGGTGGGGCTGCCCCCCTCCCAATGGGCAGCACCACAGAAAGATCCTAAAGGGTCTTTGCTGCAACTGTGCAACTGCCTAGCTTGTCTTTTTGGCTTGAAAGCCACTCTTAGGGATGTGTTTGATTTGAGTTTGGAGTTTAGCATCTTTTTTTTGTTTTTTTAAGAGACAGGGTCTCGCTCTGTTGCTCAGGCTGGAGGGCAGTTGTACAGTCACAGCTCACTGCAACCTCAAATGCCAAGTAGCTGGAACTACAGGTGAGCATCATCACACCTGATTAATTTTTATTTTTTAAATATCTTGTAGAGACAACGTCTTGCTATGTTGCCATGCCAGTCTCCAACTCCTGGCCTCAAGCGATCCTCCCACCTTAGCCTTCCAAAGTGCTGGGATTACAGGAGACAGCTACCTCACTGGGCCACACCTTTCCTTTTCATAATGCAGCTGCTCTTAGAGGAGTAACTGGGAAAGAGAGAGTAACAGTGACAAGCAAGTGCTAAAGGTTCACCAAGCCCTCCTAAGGGGCCAGAACTGGGCTAACTCCTGGTATTCCACCCCTGTCTGGAGAGGGGGGCACGAGAGGGGAACTGCCCTTGAACCCTGCCGAAGTCAAGGCAGTTGTACGTGTTCCTTCACTGTCTCCCTGACTCCTCATGACAACACTCAGACGTAGATATTACAGCGCTGTTTCACAGATAAGGGAAGACAGTCAGAATGATTTCTGGATGGGCCCAAGGTCACTCATCTATACATGCCAAGGCCAAGATTTGAATCCTGGTGAGGACATAGGTTCTCAGTGGGGGAGGGAGCCATCCTGATACAGACACCAGTTGGCTGGGTGGGGGGTTGGGGAGTGGGAGAAGGGGTGGTGGCCCCCTTCACCGAGTAGAGACCTGCCTTACTAAAGTGAATCTGAAGTTTGTTCTATTTCTTCCAGAGAGAGGGCTCCCATGTAGAGCAGTGGTTCTCCACTGGGGATGTTTTTACCGCCCTCCACCCCCCCAGCAAAACCTGCTGGAGACATCATTTGGCAATTTCTGGAGACATTTTTTATTATCACAATTGTGGGTGTGGGGGGCGGGGCAGGGTTGCCACTGGCAACTAGTGGTGGCGAGCAGGGATGTGCCCGATGCAGACGCGCTCACGCGGGACAGGCGCCCACGCAGACGTGTTCAGTCCAAATGTGAATAGTGCCCAGGCTGAGATGCCCTGGGGCAAAGTAAAGGGCACTGTTTTGGGGTGGGGGGTGAGGAAGAGGGAATGTTGGGGAGAGAGTTGTGGGCATAAGGAAGGAGGGAGGGAGGAATGGCCCTTGAAGACAAATGTCATCTACTCACAACATAGCTGGGGCCAGGCACAGGTCCTGCTTCAAAGGAATCTATTTATGTTTCTGCTGAGATCCCCTTTAGAACCCCACAATGTCAGAGAAAAGTCAGTCGTGAGGGTGATTGTCGTCCGGTTGCTCAGGATCCAGTAATAAAAAAGACATGGACTGGGAATCAGGACATGTGAATTTCAGTCCTGGTCTGGTCACTCACTTACCAGCCGTGTGACACTGGGCCAACCTGGATCTCCTGGAGCCTCAGTTTCCTTTCCTGTAAAATGGGGATAAGTATATTTGCCCTCTCTACCTTACAAGGTGTTGTAAGAAGCAAATGGGACAATCTATAAGAAAGGGCTTTGTAGAAGGACAGTCCCCTTATAGGACAAGGATGCTGTAGCGACAACTGCATGCAGATCTCTAAGCACATTTTGGATTGGTGGGGTTCATCATTTATGTTTATTTTATTTTACATATATGTATATTTTTGTGACAGAGCAGAGTGCAGTGGTGTCATCGTAGCCCACTGCAACCTCCAGCTCCTGAGCTCAAGCCATCCTCCTGCCTCGGCCTCCCAGAGTGCTAGGATTACAGGCGTGAGCCACCGCGCCTGCCCCATCATTTATTTTTAAACTAAAAGAGTAAAATGGAATCTTGTGTCATTCCTTGTGTTTTGAAATCCAAGTATGAGAATAAATTTCACAGAGGTTTAAAATTATAAATTAGGTGCAATGTTAGCAATGGCTATCTTAAAATATCCCCAACTTGTGTGGGAGGTATGGATATAAGAGAGAAGGAGGAAGAAAGTCAAAGCGTTTATTTCCTAAAATAGAAAGAGCATTATTTCTATTCGGATGACGCAAATGATCCATGCCCAGTTGTAAAAAAAAAAAAAAAAAAAAAAAAAAGATAACACAGAAAAGCATGAGAATGAAAGTTAAAATTACCCAAAATTCTATCATCTAGGAAAAAAGAATGCTGTTGACATTTTGGAGCAATCCTTGCCAATATTTTCAATGAACAATTACACATTTTTAAAAAAGAACTCTACGGTACATGCTCTTTTGCAATGATATAACATGAACAGCCAGATTACATTAGAAAAATGCTTTTTGAGTAAAGGAGTATGTGAGGTTCCTTCCAAGAGTACTGAAAGGCATCACCATTAGATCCTTCCCTTAGAATTATCCCATCTGGCTTTCAGGTAGAGTCATTACCTTTGTTTTGGGGGGCTGGGGATGGACCGCGGGCCTGGGAGGGCTGGGAGGGTCTCACTCCAGCCCCCATGAACTCTGGCTGGAAGGAGAAGGGAGTGGTGGTACCCTGGAGGCCCCTTTGGGTTATTCCCACCCCAGGACTTGCATTTCTTTAGGAACAGAGTCCTTTGCAGGGTGGGTGCAATACTAGCGTCCCTTAGCTGTCAACAGGCCATGCAGAACCTAGGCCATCCTAGAGAAACACCGCGTTTCCACGGGAGGGGGCCCCTGTGTTTCTTATGGGGTTTTGGGGTCATTATAGCCTCTCACTCTCAGCATCCTGGAACCTTTAAGAAATAACGATTAATGCTTTCCCTCCCGCTCTAGGTATTTACAGTGTGCCCTGAGGCTATCAAGAAACCGAGTTTGCTAAAGATGACAGTCAACGGAAGCCTCTCTCCTTGCTGCCGAACCCTGCGCTGCAGGCGGCTGTCTATACTGAGATCCAAGCTCACGCTGGACCCCAGAACTCGTTCATTTAACCTTCTTTCCTTTCCCCATCCAAATGAGTGGAAACATCATCCACGCATACCAATTTGGAATTTGGAATTTACAGAAACCCTTGGGATTCTGCAAGGGAGGCAGGAGAGTTGCTGATTCTAATCCAGCCTCTGGTGATTTGATCACCGTAGATTTAGTCCTATCTCCAAAGAGATCGGGGCCAATGCTGCTGTGACTTCATGGGGGTGGGGGGCAAGCCTGAAACCTTCATACTCTGGACTTCGGGATTTCTTAGATCCTTTGCCTCTTCCGTCCCATGATGCTTTGTGGCCGGAGCCGGTGTGTCAGCCCACACCTAGATAAATTACAAGGGGAAAAATGGCATGGTCCTCTCCTGAAATTTCCCCTGCTCTGTCCCTTGAAAAGACATAAACCACTTGTGAGGTTGCTCAATGCTGGCTGACATCCTCTCTGCCTCAGTTTAAAGTGCCCATATTTTTGTGGAAGATGCTTTGGTATCCATCACATTTGGAACATAGCAATGGGCTTGAATGGGCAAAGATGCTCTGTGATACAGGATGCAGGCATTGAAGCTTTTTTAAAAAAAAAAAGAGAAAGAAAGAAAAAAAAACCTCAGGCATTTTAATATGTTAAATATACACCCAATTATTAATTCTAAAGACTTCTACAAATCAACCTAGATGAAACTTTTTTCACCTTTTTCCTGCCTTTTTCCCCCTTCTCAGAAACATTTAGACCTACCCTATGGCAATGACTATCGGGAAGTCTCTGCCCTGTATATCAGCGTAGCACAAATAATTCAGCATAAAGCAGCCCAGTTCCTGTAGCCTGGCATTAGGATAAGTATATCTTAAGAAAGTTCTTATGCAGACTTGGCTCCAGGCAATAAAACGTCATAGACGTATAACTGTAGCAAGTGAAATTTCTAGGGAGCAAATTAGGCTGAAAACATCTTCTAGAGACGGCTAGAAAGGAATCGTACACCACCCCAAAATAAGGCAAGTTATGCAGTAAATGTTTCATTTATTGGCCTTCTTCCATTACTATTAGGGTTAAAAGACATCTTGTCAATAAGAAAAGTATATTTATGGAGGACTGATGTCTTTCGGAAAGGTGTTCCTGTCACAAATGCCTATAGCAGTAGTAATCATCTTATGAAGGCAGGCGATGAAACCCGGAACAAATGCACACATCTCCCCATTAACCCTTGGATCATCAGGCATTATTGTCACTTTGTTACCTGGGCCTGTTATTAGCTGGAACAAGGTGATCAAGCCAGGCACTTCAGAAAAATGTCAGAACAGAAGGGTGTTCCTCAGGGTTTCAAGAGGAGGGCGTGTGCCTTTCCAAGTCCCTTGACAGAATCATTGGGGGTGTGGGGGGGAAGGATGCTTGTGAAGTGGGTACTTTTGCCTATCCCTTCCTCCTGCTAAAATTGAAAACTCTTGAGTGTCCAATTTTTAATGTTCCTATGTTGGCTAAGGGAGTAGCTTTCCTCAAGGTCCAAATAAGGAACCATCACCCACGCAGAACAAAAAGCAAACAGAAAATCTCACAGTGGAATCAGGACTTTGGCTTCTAAACATTTCCCCATTTTATAGCTTCCTTATGTTTTCAGATTCTTTTTTTGGCTTCCCTCAGCACACTCCCTGCATAGATAAGTCCAACACAGTGGGTAACAGATCATCCATCTTGGAGCCCGGATCTTTAAAGAAAAATCATACAGGAACACAAATACACACACCCACACGTGTACATATCACTGCCAAGGGTAATTCAGCAGAAGCTTGCCAAGTGATTGGGGGAGCTGAATATGGCTGTCAACATGTATTCCCCACTTCTGGTAAATCTAGCAAACTATCCTCGTTTTTCCTAAATTTTAAAGCCAAGCTTTCAGTGTGGTTTGTCTTTGCTGGTATGCCATGAATCTCTTAGCCGTGACTAGGGTATAGGATAGAACTACAGATTCATGGACTCTGAATATTAAAAAGAACCTAAGAAAATATCTAGTCTAACCATCTCACACCCCCCGCCCCGTGAGACAAGACAAGGGGTCCGCAGGTAACATGGCTATGGCCAGCTTATTTCTGCAGTCCCCACATTCCCGTGTTTCAGTGGGCACCTAACACTCCACTGAAACTCCCCCGTGGGGAAACAGCATCTGAAAGGTGATTTATATAATCTGTAACTTCCTTTGCACACTCGTTGGTAGGGATGAACAAAGGAAGTACCCTCGGGAGAGGTAACCTATTCACTTAAGTTTTAAGGCAAAAGGCAGGTTGCTAGCATCTATACATAACCACAGAAAAAGATTTAATCGAAGGAAGGCTTGGGGCTGGGGTTAAGAAAACAGAGAAGCAAAGAAACTGAAGGGCAGTGGAGGAAGAGGAGGAGGTGAAGGTCAGGGAGGCTAAGGTACAGCTACTTACAGTCTGGGACGTAGCTGGCCCCAGGAACAGGCTCCAAGGGATGAGGGCACAGCTTCTCCCCCATGCCACCCTCCTTCCAGTCTGCAGAGGCCATGGTGGCAAAATCTCCTGGCTAAGGCTAAAGTCAGATCTGGTCTAGTTTCTTATGTTTTTAGAATCTCTGCCATTTGGGCAGAACTCTTGGTCCTATAAACCAGGAGTCATCAGTATCTAGAGAGAGAAGTTGCCTCAACACTTGAACACCAGCCAACTGTTGTGTAAAATTTCATACCAAATCTATAAATTACACACCCACAATTATGGGCCAACCTGACTTTTTTTTTTTTTAATATTGTATTGCCTTGCTTCTTGCCCATTGCAGTTCCAACTTCGTCTCCCTTCTCCTCCTCAATTCAAGCACCACCTGAAGCCCTTCCAGAGACTCAGGGGTATTGACTTTCTGAGATCTTGCTGGTCTGCTCCATGCCTTTTTATGGCACTAAGCAATGAAATTAGATGTGGCACATGTGCTATCATAGAATAACTTTTAATTGCTTAATTAAATCAAAGATTTAAGGAAGGAAAGACTCAAGAGTTCCCTTTGAATGAGAAAAATAAGGATATGCCAAAATGGATGATGTTACTAATCATTGGAAGAAAGCCTCTTAGTATTTACATATGATAAAAATGCAGGCCAGTACATTAAAAACAGTAAGTACACTTTTAAAATTTTCAATTCAGTATATTTATGAGCTTTTATTATACAGGTAGTCCTATAAAGGACATAGAAGACCTCATTATACCACTTAATTCAAATCAGGGTTAGATTAAAAAAACCCCACCACACAGGACAAAGAAATTGCCATAAAATTAAGTTACTATAAATGTGTTCCAGTTTAAGTAAATAAGCCCCTAAAACGGGCCTTAGGAAAAGTCTACACTGTATATAGACAGACTTAGGCATACCAAGTATACAGGTGACAATTAGCAAGTGTGTAAAGCTATGGTCATTTTTCTAAATCTAAAGGCGACCAAATGAAAAGACCTAAAAAAGGAAACTGTTAAATCCATTTGTACATGGATTTAACAGTGAAGCATTTCATTCTTCATGTTTTTACTTGGTGTCTTGAAATAATCCCCTTTCTGTCTCCACTCTCCCTCTTAGACACTGCGCCCGCCTTATTTATTTATGAAGTCTGAAGGTTAGTCCTACCTGCTGAGACTAATTAGCCCTGTGCTTTGTATCCTATGCAATCCTGTCTGATTAAATGTACACATTTGTTTTACTTCTTTTTAGGCTCCTTCTCACTCTACTTCTGATTTTCTGATTAATATTAAAGTTTGGAGTTACAGTGATTCTCCTCTTGCCCCCCCCAACCCATTTTTATCTTGCCCGCATCTTATTCTTTAGTGTGCAAATGTGGTTGTGAATTTTTTTCCAGTGCAGGGGAATTCGTTGGCCTTGTCAATCTTGGCATCATTATTTTTAGTAGTCTTCTTTTGGAGACCTTAGCCTATAAAACAGTTTTGCTGAAACCCCAAACTCTCTAAATATTACATGGTAAATTTACTTTCTTTTGGAAACCTAGGTGCTGGTGGGCCAGCTGAAGAGTAGGTGAGCTTTTTAAAGGAAAGGTGGGGCAACAGTACATTGTGGACTCTAGACCAACACTGCTCCTAATAGGCAATTTGCTAATTCTTACTGATTTATTTTTTTTTCTGGTTCTTTTTGTCCCCTTTGCATGTTGTAGTGTCCAGCAGTCCGCTGCTTATCGGATATTTGCAAGAAAATGAACGTTCTTCCTCCATCACTCAGAACTGTGTTTTGGGAGCTGGGCCTTTCCCCTGTAACGTAATTCTGTTCCCCATTTTGTAACAAATCAATCTGCTCCCCCCCTGGAGTTCCAACCTAAAGGTCAACAAATACCTGCCTCACACCCCAGGTTTCCCATCTCCTCGGGGGAGGTCTTCAGCTTGGGCTTGGTTAGCAATTTCCTGCCAGAGCCATCTACATCTTGATTATTTGGTCAGTCTTTTGGAGGATTTCATTTCAGACCCCCTTCGAGAAAGGCTCCAGCCCAACTGATCCAGGGGTTGGTGAACTTTCAGTTTTATTTTCCCCAGCGGTGTTAACGCCCAAACTTTTCACCTCCAAAGTCAGAAAGGACTTTGAATCCTACCTCATTTCCTACCACCTCCAACGTCAGTTAAAAATAAAAGAACACCACTGTACACTTAAAAGAATCATATGTATTTTTCTTAAAGATATTTTTAATGCCCCTGACAAACACTACAGTATTTGATTGTTTTTTGGATAAAAAGTCATGTTGGCATATTTACCCTAGTGGGACTTAACATTTAATGAAATGATTCACTATTAATAAACAAAAAAAAAAAAAAAAGGGAGGAGGGAGCCCTGGTGGGTCACTAGTTTCTTTCACTGTGAGATGACCAGGAACTTTGCCCAGCCCTTCACTTCCCCAAGCTCTCAGAAAGTGGAGGGCTGATCTTTCCTTTTGACCACTTCAGTTACCTCCCGCCCGAGGGTGGCCCCTTTCACTGCTGCGTGAACCGCGAAGCAGCCCCGGCCCCGTCCTTTCCCACAACACTCCCCTCCTTTTCCCCTTCCTGGAGACTTATTTCTAATATCGCCAAAGTGCACTTTTTCTGGGCCTCTCCGCATCCCCGCCCCCCAAGTGGGCTTTCCTTCCGCCTTCCGCGGCTCGGATTCCTGACTCCGGCGGTCGCCACCCCCTTCCCCTCCTCTCCCACTCCGCATTGTCTTTCTGAAGCCGCCCCCTCCCGGAGCGAGGGCCCGCACCCGCGCCCCGGCTCCCGGGCTCGCCCGCACTGCGCGCAGGCCGCTCCCCCTGCACACTCCTCCCCCCGCTCCCCTGCCGCCCGCCCCTCGCCGCCTCCCCCTCCTCCCGCTCCCGGCGCCCTAAAGGATCATTGTTAGCCGCCCCCGCCCCGCCCACCCCGGCTGTTTATTTATGCACACGTCAGCGGGCCGGCCCCGCCCCCCGGCATCTCATTAAGGCGAGTGTGTTCCTCTCGCCCTGTCAATAATCTCCGCTCCCAGACTACTCCGTTCCTCCGGATTTCGATCCCCCTTTTTCTATCTGTCAATCAGCGCCGCCTTTGAACTGAAAAGCTCTCAGTCTAACTTCAACTCACTCAAATCCGAGCGGCACGAGCACCTCCTGTATCTTCGGCTTCCCCCCCCTCTGCTCTTTATATCTGACTTCTTGTTGTTGTTGGTGTTTTTTTTTTTTTACCCCCCTTTTTTATTTATTATTTTTTTGCACATTGATCGGATCCTTGGGAACGAGAGAAAAAAGAAACCCAAACTCACGCGTGCAGAAGATCTCCCCCCCTTCCCCTCCCCTCCTCCCTCTTTTCCCCTCCCCAGGAGAAAAAGACCCCCAAGCAGAGAAAAAAAAGTTCACCTTGGACTCGTCTTTTTCTTGCAATATTTTTTTTTGGGGGGGGCCAAAACTTTTTTCGGGGTGATTTTTTTTTTTTTTTTGGCTTTTCTTCCTCCTTCATTTTTCTTCCAAAATTGCTGCTGGTGGGTGAAAAAAATGCCGCAGCTGAACGGCGGTGGAGGGGATGACCTAGGCGCCAACGACGAACTGATCTCCTTCAAAGACGAGGGCGAGCAGGAGGAGAAGAGCTCCGAAAACTCCTCGGCGGAGAGGGATTTAGCTGATGTCAAGTCGTCTCTAGTCAATGAATCAGAAACGAATCAAAACAGCTCCTCCGATTCCGAGGTAGGAGAAGCCCCCCGGGCTGGTGGGGCACTCGGTCCGCTCCCGGCTCGGCGGCCGCGGCCGACGGCGGAGAGCCCGGGCCGGGGGCGGCGGCGGGCCCAGCGGGCGGCGGGGCGCGCGGGGCCGCCGCGGCAAAACTTGTGACCCTGTTTTCTCTCTCCCCCCACCCCGCCGCCCCTGTCTCCCCCTTCTCCCCCGCTGCCTGGCGTTTGCCCCCTCGCCCTCCCCTCTCCCACCCCTGCGGGAAGGCGGAAAGACGGCCTCCGCCGCGCTCCGAAAGTTTCCGAGATAAATCCCGGGAAAGTTTGGAAGAAGGTGAGTACGCCCCGCGCGCCCCGCAGCCGCCCCCGCGCCCCCGGCCGCCCCGCGCGCCGCCCGCGCCCCGCTCGGCCCGGCCCCGCGCCGGCCCTGCCGGGGCGCCCGGCCCGCGGGGCACTTTCTGAAAAGTTTCTCCTCCTCTCTCCCGCTCCGCGCGGCCGCCGCCGTCCCCTCGCCGCCCCGCCATGTTAGCGGCCAAGAGGCAAGATGGAGGGCTCTTTAAGGGGCCACCGTATCCCGGCTACCCCTTCATCATGATCCCCGACCTGACGAGCCCCTACCTCCCCAACGGATCGCTCTCGCCCACCGCCCGAACCGTAAGTGCCTCCGCGCGGCCCCCGCCCGCTGCCCGCCCGCCCGCGGCCCCGCATGCGGCCCTGCCCTGCCCCCTCCCCGCCCCCGCGCCCCCGCCTCCGCCCCTCCCCCGCTCGTGGCCCAGGCAGCCCGAAACTCTCCAAACTTTTCTGCCTTTTGTGGACTGGATTTGTTTGCACTTCGCCATGTTCTTGCTTTCAGTTTGCTGCCTCGTGATGCTGGGGAGACCTTTCTTTCCGAGCAGGGCTTTTGTCGGGGGTGTGTGTGTGTGTGTGTTAGTCTGAAGAACTTTTTTTCCGCGCTGATTCCCTCCCCCCACTTTGGTGGTGGAGGTTGTTTCTTCACCCTGGGAAGATGACTGTGTGGCTCTTTCTTTGCTCCCTCTCTCTCTTTTCCTTCCCTCTTCTGCGGCGTCTCGGGCTTTCCCCGGTTAACCCCTTGGCTGCCGCTGCCGGGCCCGAGCGGCCGGCCGCGCCCGGCGCGGAGTGGACCCTCCCGGCGCCGGGCCCGAGCGCGCGGGGCCGGGCCCTGCGGAGGCGCCTCGGCTCTCTCTTTCGGGCGGCTGTTTATTTAGCTTTCTAGTGGCGGTCACTGGCTCTCGGCCCTCCTTCCCCCTTTCCCTGGAAGGTCAAACTTCCCAGACTGGTCCCACCGCTCACTTGGGGGCCCCGAGGCGTCCTTTTCCTTGGCTACCCCGCAGGGCCGCGAGCGCCCTGGGCGCCGTGGCGGGCTCGGCGGTCCGGCGCGCTGGCCGCGGGCTCTCTCGGGCCTGTGCCGGGCGGGGAGGCCCCTGCGGCCCGGGTTCTTGGTTTGTGTGCAGCTGGATGGCCTCCTCCGAGCGGACTTGATGTATTTCTAGGGAATTTTGGCGCCTTGGGGTGTGTACCAGGGGCTGCGCTCGCCAGCTTCCGAGTAGGCCCTGAGTGGGCCCTGGGGGGCCAGAGACCAGGGCGTGCCGGCTCAAGGGGGTGCAGGGGGCGAGGGAGGCCAGGGGCGCCCCTCCTTCAAGGGAGTGGGCCGCTGATCGCAGGCCACTCAACTTTGGGGGCCCCAGGGCGGCGCGGGGTGCCAGGCTCCGGGGACGCTTCCTGCAGCGTGCGCCCCGAACCCACCCCTGACATTTGTTAATACTGCCCGACCCCGCACCCCACCGGCCTCTGCCCCCTGCCCTCACCCTGAACCCCCTCCTCCCCATCTCTCCCTTCCCTCTGCAAAGCAAGATTACAGTCTCTGGACGCAAGACGTGTTTGTGCCTGGCTTCCCGGGATTGTCATTTTGCACCTTCTTCTGGTTTGGTTCCCTACTCCTTATTTACACACACGACTTTTGTTTTTTCTTTTTCGGTAACTCGAGATAGTAATTTGAAATAATGCATCCACTGTTCAGCAGCCGTGGATTCGGTGCTAATGGCCGAGGGCTTGCAGGACGGGAGTCGATCAGATCTACAAGTGTTTTTAAGCATTAAAATATTAACTATCAGGTTTGACTTGTTTTTTTGGGCCCTGGCAAAATGGCAAGAGCATGCTAGACCGGTCACTTTTTATTGCTAGGAAAGAGGAATAATTGTTCCCCCCTCCCCCAGCGCCCAGGCTTCTGCGTGCTTGGGAGGCTGTGGAGCGGTTCGGCCCGACCCTCTGCTGCAGGGCCAGCTCCGCCGGGCTGCAGGGGCCGGCTCCGGGCGCGCAGCTCCGGGCGCGCAGCCGTAGGGAACCACAGTCCGGTGACTTTGTATTCTTCTTGCGAGCTTATAGGGCATCTTAAACGGGGCTGTTCGGCTCAGAATCCGAGTGTTGGCGTGCTAAGAAACCCGACCGAGCAGCATTCCAAAGAAACCCTGAGAATTTCTCCCTCTCCTCCCCTCCCTTCCCATACGACCATTCCCTGCTATTATTTATAAATCCACTTAGCCATCGAAAGGGCCATCCGACCATGCCGCTTAGAGGGCGGGCTTGCTGGTTTTCTCCACTCTGTTCAAACTCCCTGTCTGACGCCGGCCGTCTTGCCGGCCCTTCTTCCAAAACTTGAGCAGTTGTGTTGTGCTGTAATTAGGAAGCGGGGAAATTGTTGAAGGCAAATAAATGATTTCCTGGTGCGAAAAGGAAGGCTCCCAAGGATCGGTCCCCTTTGTGGGCATTATAGGAATAGAGGGCGTCTAGTTATTTTAATTGTGGACGTAGCGGGTGGCCTTGTGCTGTGACATCAGACTGAGCCCGAGAAGACGTTTCTGAACTCAGTAGGCAGTTTTCGTATTTACATGTCAAACACCAGCGGACATCTTTGTGTACACCGCCCCTTCCTCCTTCCTCTCTGTTACCTGGGTTAGATTATGTGCTCCAAAATTAAAGTTTTTTACTTAGGCTGGTCAGCAGAGCCATGGAAGTGAGGTCGGTAGGCTGTTGTGTGTCACTCCTGACGTCCTGGATCAGAGAGCCAGCTTGCAATTCCAGATTTGATACAGCTGCCGGAGGAATCTATAGGCAAGATAGCGGTCTTTCCACGCTCATCTGAAATCCTTAGTGCCTTACACAGGCTGTTTTTGAGGGCGAGGTGTAAAGACAAATTAGCTGTATGCTTTATTCTTTTCCGGTTGCCCCTTGGTGGTGGTGCGTTTTGCTACATTTTCTGTTACGTATGGGTGTACCTGTAAGCAGCTGCATCCTTTGCTTTTTGCAAACTCTCTGGAACCCTGATTTCTGCTTTCCTATTTAAGAATGGAAAGAATTAAGGAGTATCATTAAATCAGCTTATGATGAATAATACATTATCTCAAAAATAATGCTTTAATTGCTGAAGACGCCATAAAGCTTG